CCTGAATGTTTGTGTGTCCATTAATCTGTTGTAAACCATTTCATTTTACCTGTCAGTCATTTTAACATAACCACAGTTCTGTTTCTAAATATTGGTTGGTATCCATTTACAATACCATACATCAGGAGTCAACAACTGTGCCCATGGCTCCCTAGCTCCTCTTCTGTAGTCTGTCCACTCGTATGCCAATCAAACAAGCAAAATAAAGAATAACACAAACTTGGATGCAATGACCACATGCTGCACTACTTCTGCCGACCAACACACACACACATATAAAGATTTCCTCAGTGTCCCTTACCTGAAAAATGAGGTCAATCCCAGTTTTTACACACTTATCAGCAGTATTTATACTTTGTTACTCTTAATACATCTAGGTTCTACCAAATTAACCTACAAGACAAACCAGTATGTCAGACCATCAGTTCTTACACAGAAAACCATAATAGAATCTCTCACAATAAAAGGTTTAGTCCACCATATACTGTACAAATGAAGTCCAGGATTCATGATTTATAAAGAGAATTGTCTCACTGATATTTGAATGCCTGGAAAATGTGAATCTTGTTACACACTCCAAAAATTTTGCCCGACATGATAAACTTAAACCTGAAGAAGTCCTCTTTAACTGTACTATACTATCATGTACAAAAGTCGTGTCCACTACCCAGCCACAGTGAGGTTTCGAATGGCCTTGATTCTGAAGTTTCGAAACAACTGGGGGAAATGCTATGGTCGACCAACAGATGTCGCCCACTGTAATGTGTGTGGGGGAATAGAGGAGGTGGGGGTTAGTCTAGTAACAGGCTGTGTGTAGGTGGAGCATAACATCGTGAATTCCGCAATCACTGATAACAATAAAAATGTCATGAAGATAGTTAATATTATTAAGCATGGTAAGAGATGTGCAACGGGTAAATAAAAGCACTACAACGACCATATCTCTGCCGTTCATGGCTACGACGGTGCGAATGATGGGCACACCAGTAATTAATTCTCTGTGACTACCAGTAATGGTAGTCACGGAGAATACACACGTTACCAAGGTTGGCGCCACCCACACCAGGGGAAGGAGGTGATATCGATCACTGAAACATGCCGAGGTCTCGTTCCTACCATCGTCGTCACCAACAGGTAAGTCACATTAATTTGTCACCATAGCCCATGTCGTCCTTATACTACTGCAGGGTGTCCCATGAGTGACAGCAGATATTTGTACAGGTGAAAGAATATGTGATATTGAGTTGAAAATCTTCTATACACATAAGCATTTTTCGGTTGGCAGAAGTCCTGGGAAAATGAACCAACAAGCCATAAGCTAAAAATGATCAAATCATCAGTTTATCCTTGGTCACCATCAAAACAATCCTCTCATCACAAAACTATTCTGAATCGTCTGAGAATTGGGCATACGCGATTGACGCATGGCCAACTCGTGTCTTCCCCTAATGGAGCCCCACCTATATGCTCCAACTGCCGAACACAAATAACAGTCCAACATATTCTCATTGAATGCCCTATTTATAATCGGTATCGAACAATGTGCTTCACAAACCCTACAATGTAGGATATTTTAGCAGACCCCAAACTTTTCCCCAAGTTCAGTTTTGACCTTTTTGAAATACTGTAATCTCCTCCAAACAATATAACACTAAGTTATAGAAACACAAATATATGTTAACTAATCCCTCTGGCCAGCCCTAGGAGAGACTCAAATGGGTGTCAGTGGTCTGGTTAAACTAAATCTTGATGATGATTATCGGCGAATGTTCACTCTACAGTCGCAGGGATGGTGGTGGAGGTTTTGGGGGGGGTGTGATCCACTTGCAGTGCACTATGAATACATGAAATAGGAAGGGTTTCTTGGGCAGTTGATCAAAAAAGATTTAACAAAACGTTATGTCAGAGTAATAATGCTTCACCTAGGTATTACTAATACCATCAATTTACTCTAGTATATAAAAGCCTGCATCAGTTACCACAACATAATATTACTCTGCCATTTCAGATATGCCTGCAGGACGAGCAAATTCGTCGGCAGTGATTGCTGAGCAAGGCCAAATCATCGGGATGTGGAGAGCCGGGGCAACTGTGCTGAACATTGTTCTCGAAGTGGGGAGGAGCACCAAGACGATTAGGAGGTGGATCCGCCAGTGGGAGGAAGAGGGCTCATGGAGACGAAACCTCGAAGCGGGAGGCCACGAGTAACGTCGGCAAGGATGGATGCCATGATTGTGGCAGCTGCAACGGCATATCCAATGTGAACATCAGTGGAGCATACAAGAAATCTGGGCCTCAACTGCCATCGCATGACGATGAGACGCGAAGCCGGGATCGACTGCCATATTCCAGCTCACAAAGGGTGGCTAACACCTACTCACAAGGAGTGTCGACTCGGCTTTGCATTGGAACACCTTCCACATAGATAAGAATACTGGAGAACCATTATATTTACCGATGAAACGGTGTTCAGGTCAGTGGGAGCGAAGCATGGCAGTGCTGGTGGCCCCCCAACACACGCTACCAGGAGAAACACATTCAACATCGCGCAGTGAGTGGTAGGGTGTCAGTGACATTTTGGGGTGGATGTGGGAATATGGGCCAGGTGAACTGGTCAAGATCAATGGCCGTTTCACTGGTGAGCAGTATGTAGACATCCTGGAGCAAGTGCTAATTCCTACAGTCCGGGCTATGGGAGTTAAAGCCCCCCACACTATCAGGCTGGTTCATGACAACAGTCCCATTCATACCAGCAACATAGTGAAGGACTACCTCCAGGATCACCCTGAAATTGAGGTCATCGACTGGCCAACACTAGGATGTGATATTAATCCGATTGAACATATTTGGACCATGATGAAACATGATTGGGATATTGGGGAGCAGCGAACCTGTGCAGCAATAGAGGCCAAAGCTTCCGACGTGTGGGAGAGTTTACGTCAACGACCAGGGGTGTGCCTGAAGCTGGTCGACTCCATCCCTAATCGCCTTGATGAAATCCTGAATGCAATGGGTGGCTGGACCAAATACTAAGGTGTGTGTGTGTATTGTTTGGATTTTAGTATTGTTTATAAATACAATTAATATATATTAACTCACCTACAGTGTTATATTAAATCCATGTCCTTAATGATGTCTTAAACTATATTGCATGAAAATTCATAACAAAGTAACTTAACAGCCACAAATTATGTATTGTGTGGTATACAATGGTCTGTATGACACGTCGTGGAATGTGTTGTCTTATAGCACAATATAATTACTGTATATAGTTACAATTGCTACCATCATTGAAATGCTCATGATGTTCAGCACACAATATTAACGGTACCTGAGCACACACCAAAATATATGAAGCTTGCATATTGTGGTGGGGTGTTTAAACACGAACTTGGAAGAATTGGGACAGTCACCTAGATTAAGTCTGAATATTATCTTATATACTGATAACTTTTTCACTCCACTCTTTTTAACATAAGTGTATAATTATATAAGATTGCATATTATCACAAATATTTATTAAGCAAAGGATGGGTGTAATATAAATAAATATTACCATAATCTCTTTGTTGGAATAACAACAAAATTGTGACATGGTCGCTGAGTAAAACTAGCTGACCAAGGCCCTTCACCCTGATCCTTGCATATTTCACTTTTATCCTTAATATATTCCATTCTTTAAAGTATCATTGTGACCTGAGTGGCAATAAGCACCCAGGGCACTGCACCTGTTCCATGAATTCGTAACCATAAAGAAACAACTAAGACAAAACGTAGTTAAAAAGGCAGTTTGAAATTATGGTGGTATAAATAATAAATAAACCTGCCTCTCATCCAGCCCCCAACACACACACACACACACTACAGTGGGCGACATCTGTTGGCCGACCATAGCATTTTCCCCAGCTGTTTCGAAACCTCACTGTGGCTGGGTAGTGGACATGACTTTTGTGTACGATAGTACATCTGGTCTCCCATAAGAAAAAACAAAACAAAAAACCTACACAATTAACGTGACTTGCTACATGCTACAATATGTCTTATCGATGACAGGAAGGGGCAATTATACCCCACAGATAACTTCCAACACATATTTGCTGAAAACAACAATGGTGATGCTAGTCTTTGGGGCTATCATCCAAAAGTTACATACAGGTTAGTGCAATAAAATACTGCGAAACTTGTAAGTGCTAATCCACAAAATACTGAATCTTAACTGCCAGTATAAAGTAACAAAGACAAACTTAGTCATCATAACTTTTATCAATGTTACCCCTCACAGCAGGAAAAACATACATAAGGTACAGTATATATCTCAAGAGATCACCACTCGCATAAATTCAAGAAACTAATGTGACAGCTGATGGCTAATACCCAGCAGTGTAATTAATAATCCTCACTTATTGTCACCAATAAATCTTAGTGATATAACAACACACAAAGCTTAATTGATTTTATAAATTTTAAAATGTGAAGGTCAGAAATTTGACAATGCAAAATCTCAGGCATAGCTGTCCCACATGCTCACACTCCTGGCGGTGATCCCTGACATGTACGGGTTGACAATTCCTTATCCGAAATCCTTGGGGCCAGAGGCATTTTGGAATTTTTCGGTTTTCAGATTTATTTATTTTTTTATTTTTATTTTTTAAGCCTACCCGGGCACAAGTCACTGACCCACATTGGGGCCTGGGTGGCGAACATATAATAAAAATTATAATAACAATTCATAGGTCTAGGTCATGTCTCTCACTTTTGATCTTTTTTCATTCTTGTATTTCTTTATTTTATTACAGTATTATTGTTATAATTAATTTTATTATCATATTTTATTATTATTATTATTATTATTATTATTATTATTATTATTATTATTATTTTATTTTGGTGTATTTTTATTAAAAATTTTATTTACTATGAATAATTATTATTACTATTACATTTTTGCCCCCAGGCCCTGATGTGGGTCAGTGATCTATGCCCGGGTGGGCTAATCCCTGTTTAAAAAAAAAAAAAATTGCCCTCCAAAAAAACTTTCGGTTTTTAGAGCTTTTCGGTTTTTGGAATTTCGGATAAAGGGTTGTCAACCTGTATAGTGAAGTAACCAGTGTCAAGTGAACCAGCACAAAATCAACAATAATTACCATTCTTTGAGCTGGCAATGACATATACATTAATTTCACTCTACCTCATCACAGTGTGTCGAAAAATTTGTGTAATGTGAGGCTACAAGAGGGAGACTATCACTGCTTGCTTCAATACTACATAAGTACAAGCTCTACATAAAATATTATATTCCTTCTTGAAAATAAAAAAGAAAAACTTGCTCAGCTGAGTAAATATAGTGGAATACGTCTCTTTAAGTCACATATTACAGCCTGTTGTCAAGGAGTACATGAACACAACACTAAAAGCAATAGACAGCAGTATTTGGACTTTACCTACAGTAGTTAGTTCTCATTCAATTTGTATTTACGAACCTCCTCCTTGGTATATACTCTTCAATATCGCTTATAAAGTTGGCAATTATCTGAAGACCTCCAACAATTACAAACCTTCCAAATGAGACTAGATTATCTGAACCAAAATACCAAGAAGCAAGTACTATAGTATAGAACAGCCATGGGTTCCTCAAGCTGTGTTACCATTCACAAAACTGTACGAGACCAAGCTCACCCTGCTGAGAGTTCTGGTCACATTCACATGTCACCGCCCTAATAACATGAGCTCCAAGCAATTTACACATATATAAACTTATTACTGTACTGGCAAAAAGGTGAATTTCATTTGTACAGTTTCACCATATTCTGTCCACCTTTGTTTTGTTTTTACCCCATGAATTTAATTATATATGGCACAGTTCAGTAGCCTAATGCTTTACATATTTAATTCATGCAGGAGCTGTATGCTTAACCACACCAGAGTTCCAACACTATTATAAGTAGAACATGTATAAGATCTGTCATTGCCAAGAAGTGTTGCCTGAAGGTTTCCTTTCTTATGAACCAGAACCAGACAACTAAACCCAGATCAAATCAAACACAAGTACAGATATCCCTCGTTTAGTGTCAATTCACTTAACGTTAAGTCGGTTGAGCGATAAAATTTATTGGACACCCTTTCTCACTTAATATTCAGTATAGTGATAGTTTGACACAGTGGAATGGGCAAAAAAAATGGGGATGAGGTGGCTTGTGAGATGGCATGGTGCCATTGTTACATGTAATGGAACTATAAAAGTTGTGGAAAAATCATTACAATACTCTAATGTGGCTTAGAAATAAAGAAAATATAATATAAAACTATAAAATAAGAAAAATGAAGAGCATGGGCGTGTACAATATATGTGTGAAGTGAACGTAACTGAGGCAGTGGGCTGTAGCTGCGTTGCAAGCCCAGCCGTGTACCGACTCCCTCTGCGGCAGCAACCATACGTCTCTGTGTCACGTCGCCCAGAGGATAGCTTGAGTGTGGAAGGAGCTATTTTTTGTACATAAAATATGTGCTGTCGTATCTTATAATACGTTATGTATCAATTTTACTGTTTATCATAGCAATCTTTGTTCGAATTTGGCTCGCCTTTTGCTCACTAAATTGTTTAACTCTGAACCACATCATTTATATAGGAGTTTGGAGCTAATAAATCAATCAATTGCTTAACTTCAAAACCATTTATAACTATCTCATTTATTATTAATACTAGGGAGTACAGTATTGCATATTCAGTGTTTACAGCCCTGCCGTTTGAACCTGTTGTTCACCCTCCATACTTTGTTGTTATCCCTCATTAAACGATAATTTCACTTAATGTTAGTTCTTTGAAGAACACAACTCTATTGTTAAACGAGAGATGCCTGTACAGTGTCTGGTTAACAACATTAATTATTTCTTGGTTGGTATAAACTATAACACAATACAGTACTGTACTGTAATTTCATTGTCAACTCATCTTGTCCTCAGATATGAATGTTTAGTTATACCAGGTACAATACATGAGAGAACAACATATATTAACCCTCATTTACATTTAGATATCTCAGAAGGGACACATTATCTTTAAAATATTTTTTCAAAATGACTGATGAAACCATTGCTTCTCACTCCACTGGAAAAACATCTTTATTGGAGAAGAGAGTCACTTCTTGCTCTGATTTGCTATTATGCAATGGACAAGAATAATATTTATTTCAAAGTTCTTAGAAATATATATATACTGTATATAATAACTATGGTTAACTTCACCAGTTTTTCTACACTCAGCAGCCTTAAAAATAATTGGTTTTGGCATTATTTACATATACAAATTCCCTTAGAAATGCTCAAACTGATCAATCAAGCATCATAAAGTTTGTCTTAAAGTGACAGAGCACCTACGGGAAGGAGGGGAATTGTTTGGTATTTAAAAGGGACATTTAGAAAATTCCCTTTCATCATAACCTCGGAGCAGCCTGGCTGTACAGCAAGCTGCGAGCATCACTGGGAAATATAACTGCACAGAAGAATGTACATTTTATCACAGCACTGCCTGCACAAGACGCGATTGCACGGGATGTCCTTGATCACAGCACCACCATCTATAAATCTTACTGTAGCCAAGGATACACATTTGATCATGGCACCACTAACAGCAAGAGATGCATGTATGTCATAGATGGGAAAGATGACTTGAAATCACAGCATCATTAACTGACACAACTGTGGCCAAGTCCTCTCAAATCCCACAATCTCCTGCTTCACTGAGCTGCTAGGGGAGGGAGGGCAATTCGGGGGTCAGCAGCAGCTGTGGACTCCAAGTTGGCCAGGAGCTGTTGCAGCCAATGTTTAGTGGATTTATCATCCTTGAGGCAGGCAGCAAAGGTCTGGTCCTTCAGCTGGTCTGGTAAACACTGACGTAAAGCTTCCCTTGCTCTGTTGAACAAGTTTTACATTAGAGAGAAATGAAAACTACACATAATCTTGTTTAAGTTTCTCTTTTACACAAATGGGAAGGCACTCAATCCTTTCACTGGGCTGGTACATACAGTATGATATGGTCTCTACACATTTTGAGTTCACTACATCTGGGACAGTTGCCCACATGTACTCACATCAGGGATGGAGTGAATACACGAGTTCAATATTCAAATACGAATAAGAATACGGGGTCTCCGAATTGCGAACGTCCGCAGATACGAAAGGAGTTAAACTTGAAATTTACAGTATTTTATTTAGCTGATGACTTCTTTTTTTACTTTCATTTACTATATTTTGTCATTCTATTTCTTATTTTATCTTAAATTAAGTGCTTTTAGATGTATATAAGGACTTAGACTATGATATAGTGGGATTTTAAACATTGTTCTGTAAGTACGGTATGCACATAGCATGTGTTCCGACTTACGTACAAATCCGACTTAAGAACGTCATCAGGAGCGGAACCCGTTTATAACCCAGGGACTCCCTGTACTTCTTATTTGCTAAAAAATATATCCTAATATTTTAGAGAATTAATTATATGCTTGGCCTATTTATACTATTGTACAGTTGCGGAAATGTGTTCCCACCACCCCGTGGTAACCCATGCCACCAAAAAGCCAACCAATATAACCTATTCACCAATCACATCCATTGTTACATGACCAATATACCCATTCTTTCATAAATAGTGATACTACAACTGCAAAGTTGCCATTTAGAGACAGATTACCACAGGGGGTGTAGGAACACATTTCTACAACTGTACCAACAAAGCATAATACGTAAATAAATTGTATAGTTTCATTTGACTTCTTACTTCAGACTCTGTATGGCCTGAGAAAACACTACCTATTTTAAAAAGTGTTTGCTGGACGTGAAAGACAGAGCTGTCCGAATAGCAATAGTATATATAAATTCCCCAGTGCTGTGAGACACCAGTCTGAGAGGAACGGGTTGCAGTCAATTAGAGGTCTGCCACCTGTGTTGTTTTGGTAGTGAAAGATTGACGACTGCTCTGGGCATGATTTAAAGACATTGGCATGCTGTCATAAGGTGAGATAGTGTCTTAATATGCCACCTATATGTCACCATCCATAGGTTTACTGCCCCTTCACCACCTTTCCTCACACCCTATTTCACAGTTTCCTTATCCTGCCTCTCTCCCTGCTGTTTTCCAGCCAAACTTCTCACCCCCACCCCTCTTACTGAGACAGAATAATCCCTTACAGACACTACATTCTCAGTTCAATCTATTTGCAGAACTGAGGTCTGCTTAAGCGTTTAACCCTTACGCCCAAGGTGATGTCTAAGACGCCCGATTATTGCGCCCCGGGTGATGTACTAATGCGCGTGCCATTTTCCGCCAGTGTTTAAATGCCCAGCGCAGGTTATCAGGTTCCAGGGTGACTATTTGCCTGTCACGCCACACGCTCGGCCATAAGGAAGCTTCCTGAACGAAATTACCTACTTTTGTTTGTTTCATTCCCATTGTTTGTCCATTTTATCTTGTTGTGTCAAAGTAATATTGCTAAAAGCCTGTGGTGTAATGGTTAGCATCCTCGCCTCGCAAGTGAGCGGACTCGGGTTCAATCCTCGGGCAGGGTGAAACTACGGGCAAGTTTCTTTATGCCATTTGCCTCTGTCTACCCAGCAGTAATTGGGAACCTGGATGTTAATCGATTTACGAATCGTATTCCGGGGTAATGGTTAGCCAGTGCAGTTGGCGAGCTGTCCAGTCTTCTCGGACTATTCCTTGACACTGTGTCATGCAGCTCGTTAATTTACGATGTGGTTGTTGTGTTGGCGACAGCTTCTACACCTTAAACAAATTCACGCCTAGGAGGCCCTTGGGCAGGCCATCCTCGTTACATGAGGGTCTTCCATTATTATTATTGCTAAAAGTAGTGTAGTTGTAGTGTAGTATTACTGGAAAATAATGCTATGATTATGTTATAAATGTATTTATCTGTGGATTTATTATTATTTTGTTAATTACAGCTAGACCCCGACTTACGACTGCTTGGACTTACGACCGCCGCAGTTGTGACTTTTTTTTTTTTTCAAATGACGCAGGCATTTTCTATACCGAAACGTTTCCAGTTAATGTAGTCTCCATGTATAATTAGAAAATTATGGGGGCCCCAAGTGCATTCAGCTGACTACATTAAAGGTAAGTGTTCAGTCACACTGTATCCATTCCTCATTATTTATTACTTTCACTGTACTGTATTTCACTAGATTTTTTATTTAAAAAAAAAATTGTAACAAATCAAAGCATACATACCTTGGGTTATCTGACAGCCTCAAGTAGCAGCGTATAACATGCTTCAGCAACCGTGCAGACTGTTCCTTGGCTAAAGCAATCACCATCTTGCCCAAGATCATGGCCACATGGGAGAATCGCTCATAAGTCTGCAGTGGACGAAAAACTCAAGATAAAAATTAAATTGGTCATTTTTAATTTACAAGGACACATGGCAAGTCAGTTTGAAAGAAAAATTATATTAAATGAGAAGAGGAGCTGTGTTGCTCTTGACTGTGGCTACCCTGTAAATAGTTCCTGCCAAAGACTAAAATATCCTATGGCTTTATAAAAAAAAAAGTATATCGCATCTGATATATTTTATCAGACTCCTACTGTAAATCTCTGAAAACTTTTACTAAATTAAAATAGGAAATCACATAATGAGCAACTTGTCCAAAAAATCTCTGAAATATTTTTAGACCTCTGAGATGATATGATTGTCTGTTTTTTTCCACAGCAACTAAGGATATCCTGTCTGATTACAATAATTTGACCACCTATCTCATGATATTCTTTCTACACTAAACTAAACTAATTAGCCTGCTCCCTCTAATGTTGCTTTCACCAAAAAATCCTTTGGTAATTTACAGCTAAGTTCCACATGTCACTAGCACTTGGTAATTTAACAAAATACCTCTTAGCTATTAACAGAATGCCTCCTCTGCCCCAGTAACATTCATTCCTTCATAATTCAATGTATTAACTGTGATACCGTATATGATATGATAAGTTAGCCTGTGCTAAGAACTTCAACATAGACTACTGAAAACACGTTGTAAGGTAATTTAGCCTATTGTAAGTTGGTGAGTTTCATTTGCTGAAGGAACTGCACAACTTTTCATTACTAATTGGTACATATTTTACGTTTTCATTGTTTACTGGCAGTAAATGGTAAATATTTTTCATGTCTGAAGCTAAAAGTTGCATTCCCCCCCCCCACACTAGTGGTTGAGATGTTCCATTTAACCAAAAAGACGCTGGTGTTTTATCCCAGCAGTGGGTGGATCAGCATTTTAGCTTAAGGTCCGCGTAGGTAATATTCCTACAAATCTAAAAAAAAAAAAAAGTTCATTCAGATTTTGTCCGAATTATCCGAAATCCGGATTAAAGGGGTCCGAATTAACGAGGGTCGACTATTACATTATTGATTTATATTGTATAAGGTGTATTAATAACCATTATTTAAAGACTATAGTTTTTATTTTTCATTAATTTTCCTTTTTGGGGGGAAAAGAGGGTAAAATATCACACAGCATAAATGAAAAGGTCACACTATGGAAATCATCTCATTATTATTGCTTTATTTTAATGGTAATTAATGATTCATGATACGACGATTCACCTCACACTGCAATATTGGAGGACATATTACCGTCGTTATTCGAGGCTTTACTGTACAGGTATTAACACACTTGCTCAAATACTGATTTAACTAACATCTGGGCTGGTTCAATCTGTTCTTACAACAAAATCTTCCATCATCTGATAACTAGAAAATTATCATCCTGACTACTTAATCACTAGACATCTGTATTCACTTCTCTCAGCCTTTTCAAGTGTCATCAAACAAACATTCAGTGAACACCATCCTGCAACTAACTCACTGAATGTTTCCTCTGAACCCTCGCGATCCTATTCCTCTCACAACACACTCATGCATGATATACCTTTCCCTCTAAAACTCGCCTGGCAAATATAGTTGAGTCCGGTCTCATCAAGAAGGATCTTCTGCAGGATGAAGGTAGCCACTGTCTTGCTCAGCTCTGACCCAGACTCCATAATGCGCAAACACAGTGGGATGATCTCGGTAGTCAACAGGAAATTTATTACCTCTTGTTCGTCCGTCTGTAGATTGTACGAGATGTAAGTGGCAATTCATCAATTCATACATATAGGTACTGGAATAATGAAAGTTTGTCTGGAGGTTCACATACATGAAATTAATCTACTTGCAGTGAATCGCATCTAAAATATTAAAGAAATGAGGTGAAGATAATGGATGGATAGACACAACTACAGTACAGTAAATGCAGAACACTCATTGCTAAACAGCTTTGTCATTTATCAGAAAAATCTTTGATATTAAAGCAGGATTCTTACCTTAACCAGAGCACCGATGACACCTAGCGACGTGAGACGCAGGTACTCAAAGGGTCGAGTTTTGCTGACGGTTTGTAAGAATGGATACAGGTACAGGGGAATGTGAGCTGCCAAGAACTGAGATCGTGTTTCCGGATGTGAAGCTACGCACTGTAAAGATTATGGACTTTCAGTGAGATCCTGATGTAATCGAACAATTATAGCAGCAACATCTACCCCCATATATATATATATATATATATATATATATATATATATATATATATATATATATATATATATATATATATATATATATATATATATATATATATATATATATATATATATATATATATATATATATATATATATATATATATATATATATATATATATATATATATATATATATATATATATGCAAGTAAATCACTGTAGGTGCGCGTGATCTAGGTATATGCTGAAATTTTTACTTCTTTCTCTCATCATTCTGTAACTGTATCAAGAGTTACACACATTTCAAAGACGGATGGGCTGAAGGGGAAGAGCAGAAAGGGGGCAAGGAGGGAACAGCAGGGGACAGTATTTTTTTTATAGTTTTAACAAATCTATTGACAAAGCTTGGAGTACAGTTTGCCTATTCTGAGTATAATTCAGTCAGGTCTTGGCACTGAGGGTGGTACCACTTCTCACGGCCACGCAGTACAGAGGTTCATACACAAAGAAATACAACATATTCATTAACAGGAAAAGTCAAAGAACATAATACTTTAATAAAATTTTTATTAATGAAGTACTGTACGGCACATAAGCAGTATCCAAAAACCTTAGAAAAAAATAAAATAGTGTTTACAGTACCATAATCCTTCCATGAATGTATGTAAAGTAGAGCCACTGTGTTGTAGAGAATTAGTTATCTGAATCACTCTCGTCTATTGACATGACAAGTGGATCATCGGCACGATTATCCAAAGCTTTCTTTCCTTTTTCACTTATATCAAACTTAAGAGAAAAACCCTCTACCTTATCCTGATTATGCCTCAGGTCTTTCACTGTTGTAACACCAACATTATACTCAGTCGCGAGGCTTGCTATTGATCTTCCTTCCTTCAATTGGTTTAGTATTTTCAACTTATCATTAATACTAAGCACAACACGCTTCCTTTTGCCTTTAGTTGGCGGCATTGTCACTTAAGCAAACACGTGGAAGCACAAACACGCAGTCAGAAGGAGTTGCTTACTCTGCAGTATCTCAACGAAGACTAAGGCCTGATCAGTGTTGCCAGCTCGATAGGTCTCATGGCACCCAATTAAAACAAAAACGCGCCCAATTTGAAATCTGTGTAAGTACAGTACACAAAAAAATATATACGTGCAATATATTTGTTTCCATAAATGCATATTATTGTGAGTGACGCCTCACTCACACCAGCTGTCCCGCGTGAGTCAAGCGCCCGGTAGCATCAGGTCCAAGTAATGTTCGATATCACACGAGTAATGCACCACGAAAAAACTTTAAGTTTTCAGAGCTTTACGGTTTTCGTAATTCTGGATAAAGAATTGTCAACCTGTATAGGATTTGTTTATTTCATGCACTATATGCACTGAGTAAACAAACATTTTTTTAATCTACTTACTATATGCACTGGGATACGGAAAATCAAATTTATTTATTTATTTTAGGGGTCTGGGATCGACGGTTAACCCGAAAGTTGATTAATCGAGGGTAAGTTAATCGAGGTTTTACTATATATATATATATATATATATATATATATATATATATATATATATATATATATATATATATATATATATATATATATATATATATATATATATATATATATATATATATATATATATATGGCATATGTTTTCACCAAAATCCACGACACGACTTTTTTCTTTCATTATACACACACACACAAAATACTTACTTGAAGAAGAGCAAGAGCATTGCAGACTCTATTGCTCTGATGAGCTGTGAGAGTGGCCGGGTTAATAGCAGGGTAGATATTGATGATCTCCTGCAGGAGGGCGGCGATGGTTCCAAAGGAGTTCCACAAGAGTGGTGCAAGGTCGGGGACGGACTCACGCTTCTTACTGCATGTAGAAAGATGGGTTAATTAACAAGACACCACAGGGCATCTTAATGTGGCTCATTTCTTAGTAACATCATTCAAATTCCAAACATTTATTCAGAAATAATAGTAGGGGTAGCTACCTTGAGTTGCACATGATATCAATATCCTACTTTGATGTCTCAACCCGTGAATTAGCTGTATCTTTTTTACTTACATTTGAATGTAAACATGGTATCCTAACCATGACATGAATATAAAGCCCATAAAGGTATCTAAAATCCTAAAGCTTCAATTACTGCTACAGTATATATACTTTTCTGCTGTGTAACAGGAACTTGGTTACAATTTATATCAATGCAAAATAAAGTCTATGCCACTGTTAGAAAATATTTTACATACCGTACTGTACTTTAGGTCACACCCAACACCTGGCAGTAATTCAAGAAAACATCATCATCTTGTAATAGAAAATATAACATTTGGAATTTCAATTAGTATATAACATAATTTACTTCAAGGATGCCATTAATTAATCTACCTACATCCTCCTGCTGCCTACTGTCACCCACTAAACAGCACAGTGAATTTAGCACAACTTCTTCCACAGGGCAAGACATCTGAAAAATATACATATTCTTCCACTTAGCTGCACCTTTCAAACATACACTTTCTCTTGTTGCTCCTACAAACCTAATGGAATTCATCTAACATAAACACTTCCATAATCATTCACTTTGCATCCATTCTTTTCTCATAATTTTAACATGTCAGTATTTTATCTTTTACGTAAACATTCCATTGACAGTCCCAGATTTTCCTCCTACCCTCCTCGCCCTCAATTCATCTTCTCTCCAAACTCAGCACTCACCAAACACACACATTCCCCTCAAATCTTCATAACCTCTAACAGAATAATCCCTCACTGATATTCAACTGTAACATACCCCAGGAAATGACTACCACCTCCACCAGAATTCTTCACACTGTAATTAAAATCAAAAAAGTTCAAACAGTACTTCTACAGTTCTAAGATAAAACCCAGTCTGCAGTAACGCGTCTGATGCATATGAAAGATAAACTAACACTGCGGGGGTGCCAAAGTGACCACATAAACGCTTATTCCTACTTGAGTGACATAGTTCCTTTTACTCAATCATTTTATATCCAAATAACATGTGTTCTCCAATACATTCATTACACTTTAACCAAATCACACTATGAAAACATGATTTGTAGGGAACTTACCAAAGGCACATATTGTTGATGACTTTATTAAAATTATTCAGCAAAATACAAGTGTTCCTGTGTAGAACATAAGCCGAACATGGTTTTAGTTAGGTCTCGTTGGCTTGTCATCTGAAATACTGTACTTTATATGTGATTTAGGGGGCTCTGTTCTAGCTACTTACCACCGCCCATTTCACAAATACGGTGGTAAGCTTTACCTCAGTTCAAGGAGAGCATTTTCTCTTGTATCAGGGTTTGCAAGTTCAATGATCCACTGGTAGATCTTGTCTCGTTCAGCACTTGTTATGCCGCTGCCTGCACCCAAGAACCTCTGACCTGGGGCTGTACCCTGTAACACACAAGTGCTCATTGAGGACCTATACAACCTAAAAAGAATTATTGATAACTGTGAAATACCTCGTACTATAATTTGTGGTCTTATCAACAAAGTTACATCAAGCCCAGAGGAAGAAAGAGGTCTACTTGGTGATTCATAGTTTATGAAAATTCAAAGTCAGATTTTCCTTGTTCTTGATGCCAATTGCATAAAGCATTCTATACCACTACCCCACACCTTCGTGAATTTCTAAAAAAAAAATGATAATCATAATAATGGCAATACAATTTTAAAGTCCACCTGAAACTAAAAACAAATTACTGTTCTCTGATAACAAATATGCTAATTAACTTTATGTAAACCATATTTCTTGTTGAGTAACAAAGCCTAACCTAACTATTAAAGAAAATTTTAAGGAATATAATACTTAAGATCAGGTGTCCGGGTTAAGGAGCTAAAAAAAACTTTTTAATAGATGATAAATTCTTCAGTTTATCAAGCCAATCCCCCAAATGGTGGAGGAAATAATTTTTTGGCAAAACCAAATGATCACATGACTCAAATATCAGTACAGGATACATGTCTAATCTAACCAGTGATGCCAGAAGGACCTGACCTGACCTAACCTAACCTAACCAGTGATGCCAGAAGGACCTAACCTAACCAGGGAGGCTCTGCCACCTGGATAAACCTAACCTAACAAGACAAAAGAAAGAACAGGACCCTGAAGAACTAAACAGTCACAAAACTCGAGCAATATAAACCCCGGCCTAGAACAGTGAGGGCATCAGCCTCTGGTCAGGTCCACACCACCACCATGTAGAGTAACCTTCCTATGGCAGAAATAAAACGTTAACTGCAGATAATCCATAAATTACTCTTGACAGTGAAGCTAAACCACAATTTTCAGTAAACTAATACCCCAAAATACATACAAATAAACCCATCTACATAACCCCGGCAGGTAATGACCCCTGTACAGCCTCTTTCCACCACCACCAACTAATTCCTATGGTTTATATTGACGCAACATAAGTTAATTACGCTAACAACTTGAGCTGTATGTGTGTTAAGTAATGCAACACAGACTTACCTGAGCATTCCCTAAAGGATTCATGGTGGGGATCAGCCCTCAGTCAGTCGGCAAACATAAACACACACGTAGTTCCCTCCTCCGTCAACAGATGGCGCCACCATCCCTACGGTACACAACCATGGCTACTGATACTACGGTACATAACGAGATACTGTACGGTACATGGTATTACGTTTACTGCCCTGCTGACGCTACGATATTGGGTATAAGTACACTAGAGTACACCCCATGGCTATACTACATCAGTATACAGCTTGATTACACTATTACACACAGCATGGACACACCACAATATATTAATATGTTTACATTACGGTATACATATCATGGTTCAAATACGGTACGCAGGAAGGCTAGGGAGAGTATTTGTACAAAAGACATAACATGGCGCCAAAATATTTATGGGGTCATGTCATTTCACACACACGCACTCACACACACCATCTGTAAGGGAATTACTACACCACGTCAAGCCCCTCATAACACCATCTGTCGAGGTCAGCGTAAAAGGCCTTCTTGATGTCATCCTCTGCATACAGTGCTGGGACGTATCCACGGAAGGCATGACGTGAGTGATTCAGTGGGACTCGGAGCGTCATGAGGCGCTCGTTGATTCCAATAGGCATTTCAGTTACCCTGTGTAGGATGCGTTGGCGAATGGCAAAGACAAATCTATAAATGCAGTTTCTCTCTGCAGCAGGCTTACCCTTCACGAAGAAGGCACAGCCAGACCCCTGTTCTGTGATATGACCCCTGTCTGGGAGCCAGGACTCACTAAAGGATGTTATACCTAGCCAGGTCTTTTGCCACAAATGCGGTTCTTCTTTCAGGACGCTCACTGTTGTCGTTATCCTTAACATCAACCACTTTAGTGTAAGCAGTGACTCGAGGTGACCTGTTTTCTGGCACAGGAGTAGTCTTCCCGAAGATTCCTGTTGTCGCAAGAAGCAGCAGTAAATACTTGACTCTCATGTTGTCAGGACAATCACAGTTTACTCGCTTGGTGTTTGACGCAGTGGGACGTAACTGTCTACTCCACTGGATTAACTCCAACTGAGAATCTGTTGACAAACTTTCACTGAGCTTCCACACCGGAAACTGACTTACACCAGCAGACAACTTAATACGCAAATGCGCAAATTAAAGTCTAGTGTTCGAGTCCAGTTTGGCCTGAACACAAGTAAGTCGGTTGTTATCGCGCGTCTAAAGATCAACCCGCTGAACGCTAGTAACCAGATAAGTATTGAAATGATAAATTCGGGATTTTTGCTCCAATTACTTCGTAGTTTAAGTAAATATAATATTACGATGTACTAAAGAAAAATAATGAATAACTGAATAGTCATTATGTTAACGTTGGAAACTTGTTATTTTTACACTACTTGTACAATATTTCCTGAAAATTTACATCGCCCGTGGACTCGCTCGCACGCCCTTGGGTTTTTACACTACCAAAGGAGCTAAGACAGCTAATTTCTTATTAGTCCTCACATCATCGTATAAATAAGCAAATTTACTTTGATGATTTACTGCTTTTTTCTTTTATTTTAGCCAGTGGCAGATATTGGGCTGAATGGATTTTAGGGATCATATGAAGATCTCTCCCCCCATCCCCCAGAGCAGCCAACTAAAGTCTTTTTTACTTTTTCTTTTATCCTCTTCACCACTGATCGGCTAGTTAGCCGCTTGGGCGATCGGTCACGTTTCTGTTATGCACTGTTGGCAAGTACTGGGCATGTACCGGCTCCTGAATATACCTGAACCTGCTCCAGTGTTGGTCAAGTCTGGTCTTGAAAGAGCTCACACTCGGTGCCGTCACAACACTTTCTGGCAAATTGTTCCAAGAGTTCACAAGTCTCACTCCGAAAAAGTTTGCCATCACAGTTTTCTGGACTTGCGGCTTCTTCAATCTTGAGCTGTGACCCCTTGTGGGGCGAGAGTCCGTCAGCTCCAAGTAAAGACACCCAACTGAGTAGTGCCCCTTGAGATGCTTATACACCTCAATTAGGTCACCCTGTCCGTCTGTAGTAGAAGCTAGGCAAGTTTAGGCGCTCCAATCTCTCAGGGTAGCTGAAGTGCCGAAGTGCAGGCACCAGTCTGGTGGCCCTCTGAACATTTTAAACCAACTGACCGTCCCTAGCATATCTCGGGGACCAGACGGGGTGACAGTACTCCAGATGGGGAAGCACTTCACTCTTGAAGATCGTTACGAGGGACGGACCGTCTAGATATCTGAACGACCTTCTTATAAGACCCAATAATTTATTTTTCTGATTTACTTTCTTCTCGCAATGGCCCGAAAACTTCAGCTTATTGTCAACATACACACCTAGGTCCTTCTCACATTCAGTTTCAAATAGTGCAGTTTCTTCATCCCGTTGGGACATAGGATACTCCTCCTTACCGTTGGTACGCCCCAGGTGCATCCTCTTACACTTCGTGACATTGAATCTCATCAGCCATTTCTTCGACCATTCTTAGAGCCCACAGAGGTCCTTTTGCACCTCTTCACAGTCCGATGGGTTCTTGATTTCCAGAAACAACTTGGCGTCATCGGCAAACATTTGTATGGAAGAGTGTACAACGTCAGGCATGTCATTTATGAAACAAACAAACAACAGCGGGCCCAAAACACTACCCTGTGGTACCCCGCTTGTGACAGGTATGGATGATGATTTCGTGCCATTAATCACCACACACTGCTTGTAGTCATGTAGAAAGTCTTCTATCCACGCTAGGACATTTCCCAGAATTCTGTACCATTCCAGTTTGATTTTCAGCCTTTCGTGGGGTACAATGTCGAAAGCCTTGGCAAAATCTAGGTAAATATTGTCGATATTACCACCCCGTTCCAGAATATGGGTCCAAATATATCCAATACCTTGAGGAATTGTGTTAAGCGGGAGCGCCCCGGCATAAAACCGTGTTGGGAATCCTTTACAAGGTTGTTTCATAGTAGATGTTCCATCGCAGCATCTCTGATAATACTCTCAAGTCCTTTACATATTATGCTGGTCAGGCTCACCGGTCTATAGTTGTTCGTGGAGTGGCAATCGCCCTTCTTGAAGATAGACTCACATAAGCCACTTTGCATTCATGGGGACCGTTTGTTCATCCAGGCATTTACAAAACTGGATCTTCAGGGGCTCGGCAAGCTCGTTGCACAACTCTCTCAGCACTCTTGGATGCACCATATCAGGGCCGGGACTCTTATGGACCTTAAGCTTTGACAGGCTACTTATCCCCTCACTAGTTTTAGTACCTTAAGTCGACTAATGAATCGTCTTCCCAACGTATACAAGATGTATTTCTTTTATTTAAGTTGACCGCAAAGTCAACCATTTGCTGTTATAAGAAAATGGTGGTTGAACATAATCAATATTTTCGGTAACTATTATAAAAAGAATATGTAACCATAAGCAAGCTGATGCTATAAGTATAATGTACTCTAGTGTGCTATATTACTGCGCCTCAACAAAAAATGCTTTAAGTACATACGTGTTATTGGGTAGTAATTCGATGGTAAAGGTTAGGTTTAATTAAACCATGGACACTACTAACAACAACAGATTTTCTTGTGTATTTTGTGTTGTTTCAAACGAATCTGACCTTTATTCCGTCACAAATGAGCCGGCTTTTTTTTCTCTAGAAAACCTACCTAACCTAACCTACCTAACCTAACCTAACCTAACCTACCTAACCTTAACTAACTCCGCCTGAAGACCCCCCCCCCCCCACCCCGTCAGCGCTACCTGGGGAGATGCTTCAGATTTCTTTCAAAACAATAAAATGTCTTAAAACACTTTAAGGTATTAAAATGGAATGTATGATATCAATAAATATATTTTCTCAAAATATTTGAGAATTCATAAACAAATATTGCAATAAATTATACATGTATCTACAAACAAAATAGGAAACAAGAACAACACGCATCACATACACAACCAAGGTAGAGCCTCCTCGAGACTAGTACCCTGTAGCACACTGAGAACACATGACATCTCAACTTTCGTCTTATCGAGTCGAAATACAGGAAAGTTCTGTCTTCCTTAGATTCTAATAGTTGTTGTCAAACGCATGGAATGACGGGGTCGACGAGCATAAAGACATTAGCTGCTGAAGCACAGAGATACACAAACACAACAGGAGTGACCTTGACACACTTGGATGTGATCAGTACAGTACAGTCCTCGCCATGACTCCGTCTAACAGAATAATCTGTTTCAATCAAACATTTAACACTTGGTTAGAATCGGGAGTGTTAATGGTAAAGCTTATGTGAAATAATAATAAAGACTGATGTACTATCAATCCCAGAATTATAATGTCACATAATGTTCTGACATCACAGGAAGTGTTGGCACATAAAACTTGTGTATGTTTACAGCTCACACTGGGGGTAATGTCTTCTCCACTTTGTTTACATTATTTTGAGATTCTTCCCCAACTCTCACTGAATCACGAGTTGTTTTCGGGATGAGAATTTGGTTGGTGATGTTGTTGATGTTAACGAAGAGGTTTGATATGTTCATCCTAGCATCAGGCTTATGTACTGTGACTACATCTTGGCACGAGGCTTCTCCTGGCCTCATGATTGCCCTGAGGGAAGTCTTGATACTGTGTATTAACTTGTGAGACTTGATATTCGAGTTATTTCCTGAACTAGATTTCACTGTAGCTTCAGGTTTTTGATACACAAATTTTTGGAGATCTATATGGTGGTGGTGAATGTTGTAATGGTCGGGAAGGACAGGGAGACTGGGCGTGGATAGGGCCAGCGCCAAGGAGTCGGTGGCAAGCCAGGAGTCGGTTCTCATCACTAGAGACTTGTTGGTGATGGGTCCTGAGGCTTTGCTGGGCTTGGCGCCTTCGACGTCATACTGACCAGACTTGTCGGCACACATGATGACGCTGTTAGAAGATATTACAATATAATTATAGCTTGCCATAAAATTTTCAACATTTATTACAACAAGTAACTGATTCACTCACCATCAGTTCTCTCGTAAAGAATGACAATTAATTTGTGGTTTACTAAAACACTGAAGAAGACGTACCAGAAGAAAACGATCATGAGGCCGCTGGCTGAAGCTCCCAGGAAGAAATGGGCTGAGGGGAAGACGCTGACGGTGGCGTGGTAGATGGCGGTGTAGAGGGCAGAGTTGACCATGGGCATGAGGCCGTCAAGGGCTCCCAGCACAGCAGACACCTTACCTGGAGAGTACAGGCAGGGAACACTTAGATACAGTGCAGATGTAAACATGTAAAAATAACGTTATCAAGTTCAGTTTCATCTGTTCTCCATGTAAACACGTAATGTAACAAGAGTAACTCACCGATCTCATCCCTGGCGACGAACTTGGTCATCATGGCCCGCTGGGCGATGGTGCAGGAGTTGAGCAGCAGAGCCGCTACTGGAGCTGAGGGAACAAGTAACACGTCACCTTGTGATCCACCACATATCACTATTAACAAACATCAACTATACTCCAAGTATATCACTTGACAATCTCAGGAGGGGCAACTCACCTATCCAGATAAAATATGGTCGAGTGTCGGAGATACAGCCGTAGACGACATACTCGAGGACCCCGGACATGGCCCCCACCATGGCCAGCACATTGTCTGCCACCCCCAGACGGCCACTCAGTAGTGGCACCGCCACCAGGGAACCTGAAGCACCACCACAACCACTTTATTACAGCCGCTACAGGAAACATGTTGTATTTTTCTACACAAAATATACCTCCATATTATTCTTAAATGTAAAATAAAATATGAAGAAGTCTCCTTCCAAGGCTTATCAGTGACACGTATTAGCATTATTGCCTGAGACAAATTTGAGAGTAAAAGTGATAATGTGTCTTACCTGTAGTAGCCACGAGGTTCTTGTAGGTAACCCAGAGGCTGTAGTCGCTGGCCTCCCAGCCCAGCACGTGGCGCGTGAAGGCGAACACGTAAGGCGCTGAAAAGGTCACCAAATATTTAGTGTGAAAACTATTGACTGTCAGTCACCATATTATAATTTATTACTTGGCGTACGTGTGTATCTTGCCATTAAATAATGATGTAAGTATCATTAGTTAATTGTAACTTTCATTTATACTTACATCTTGTGACTCGTCTGAGGAGGCTGGTGAAGATGAGGATAAGGATGAGGGCTCGAGTGTTACCCTCACGTTGCCTCAGAGTCGACTTGAAACTGTCAAAGATGCGGCGCGGGTTGAAGAAGTCCTTGATCATGATGGAGAGAGTTGGGCGGGTGTTGTGGAATGTGGAGGAGGGTGTTGCCTTCACTTCCATCCCGTACACCACCGCCACACTGTCCCGCAGCTCCACCTGGGACTTGTGTCCCGGGGCGTTGGCCTCGGCCTTCCTGGCGAAGGGTCCGTGACTCTCAGGAAGGCACACGACCACGTACACCACGGCCATCAGAGACAGCGTGAGGGAAGTAGCGAAGAGTGGTAGGTAGCCGCCCCACGTGTAGATGTAAGTGCCCATCAGAGTACCGACGGGGCCTCCCAAGAACCAGATGCTGTTGGCCAGTCCCACTCTTGATGTGCGCGACTCTTCTGAAGACACGTCACTGATGTACGAGTTGGCCGCCGTCAGGAATGACACGGTGCCGCCTCCCAGAGTGTCTAGCAGTGTGACCAAGAGCAGCATTTCGGCAGGCCACTGCGGTGCCAAAGACGCCAACAAGTAGCCTGCGGCGTGGAGAACGTGACCCACCTGCACTGCCACCAGTGGCACCTTCCTCCCATACTTGTCACTCCAGGCGCCCATGAAGAGGATGAAGAAGAGTGGGAGAGCGGCGGCGATGATGCCATTATAGAGGGCGAACACGCTGTACCTCTGCTGCACCTCCACACTGGCTGCTGGATCACTCTTGAGGTCGTCGCACACTTGCTGGGAGAAGCCACTGCCCACTCGGCACACTCGCTCCATCTGCATGTTCTCTATGTACACGTGCATGTTGGAGAAGGCCAGACCATCGAGCAGCATCAGCGGCTCCACAGTCACGCTCTTCATTACACTCATCACACGAGAGCTCCAGCCTTTAGTATTTTTGGGATCACCTTCCATCTTCTGCTGACGTTCACTCATTGTTGTCAAGTAAAATACAAGTTTATTTTTTCCAATGCTGCAGTACTTAAAAAGTGATGTTCCTGACTATATTAGTGTTAGCTATAAGTTTATACCCCTTTATCTAACTAACTGTAATATAAATTTAATATCACTATTAACTTGGCCGAGGCAGCTATTGTGATGTTTCTGCTGCACTCTGCCGTTGGCCTATGAGGTGAGTGCAAGGTGACCACTGTTAATATACCCTTTAGCATCCGCCTACCTGAGAAGAGTGACGTCAGCCAGAGGAGTAGGGAATCACCCCGACAGTATTAGGGTGAGAGCTATCGCCCCTCATGCAGGCCTCTCCTCCCCATGAATGTTATCACCCCTCCCTTCACAGGTATCTCTCACAGATCATTTTTGTTTATTAATTATTTTAACAGATTTTAAAACACGTTGATAATTATAAAAACTGAAATCAATCTGTAAGACTACTTTACTTTTTTTCCCTCTGTGTGTCTGTCTGTCTATCTCTTGTTACGACCGAGTCGTATTTTTTTATTTTTTTTGTTATATAACATGCTTCCATGTTCCATATTATTCCTGTAATAATGTGTTATATTTACTATTACATTATCTAGTCGCCTTACCCTGTGCTGTTAAGGTTTTAACTGTTATTATTTGTTCAAGCCCATCTTATTTCTTCATTTATTATTGTAACAAGCATTCTGTGTTACTCTAACGACCATCTGCATCGTTAAACGACCCATGTTCACCGGCTGGTCGCTTGGCGCGAACCGACCATATATATAGTACTCCACCTGGAGACAGAGGCAGTTCAGTCCTCTTGTCATACAGTTCACATCCTTTGAGTGACTCTCGTCACCTGTGACTTATACTTCATTTATTTGTGTTGTTCCTGTCGCCACCAATGTGGTATATCTATGTGAGTACCTATTTATGTCTCTATTTATGTCCATCAGTATTTCCTTCGTTACATTTAAGTAATTCAGTGTTGTTTCACGTTAGTTAATTTCAGTGTTTGTTTTTATATGTTTATGTAGGGTTAACGTAATCCAATGCTTTATTTTTATTCTTTTGATGTTTCCATGTTTAGTATCATTTGTCTTAAAAGTTTCGATGGCGAATCAATTTGTTGTGACAGCCTACGAGGCTCTGTGTGTTAATATTTAATTAAATTCTTAAAGGTTTACTTTATTTATTTTTATTCCATTTCAATTTACTTCACTTTTTTGTTTGGTTACGCCTAGAACCTGGATATTTAAGTAAATTAAGAGACGGCGTAACACTCTGTCTGTAAATAATTAAGCACAGGTTTATGCATTGGTCAAGTTTACCTGTGCCCCACCATTAAGGACAAAGGTCATTACTCTTAGGACAGAAGACACCTGGGTATAAAAAGCACAACATCTCTATATATTGTCTAGTTTTTCCCATTACGAAGATCCACCACACGATGTTGTCTGTGTGTGTGTATATTATAATCAGCAAGGATCACCTGAAGATTAACAACCACCATATTAATTTTCCCCTGTATAGTTTGACCCTTTGGTATATTTATCTTAAGATGAACCTAACCTAACGCTAACATAACAGTCTATATTAACCTAGCCTAACTTAACTTAATTTAACTTAACCTAACCCTCCCAGGAAAACATTAGGGTGTTTAACTTTCAGGTAAAATAAACTGGGGTGTTTTATTCTCAGGTGACTAATACATATTTATTAAACACCTTGATATACCATCTACTTTAGTCATACTTCACACAACACAACACACACACACACACACACACACACCTACCTTGATGCTATTAATATTTATCCAACCCACATGGCTGTCAAGAGCAGTAAACCGCTAAGAAAGGACCTAAAAACTAGCTCCGTCCTCTTGCACCGAGCGTCTCAAGGCAACACACCAGGCCAACAGACCCGCACTCTTCACTCCAACACCCAAACGCATATTAGAGATTTTGAACCATCGTGTTTTAGGTATGTCTTCTGATTTACACCTTATTTACAGATTTCAACCAATGAGCCCAAGTATACATTCCAATTGACTAATCACGTGTCCAAGTAAACAAATTAATTACCTAACCATTTAACTCCCGATCTCCGCCACAAGTTCAAACCTAACCTAACCTGGTAAAGGCTAGAGCACACATAAGTGAATAGTGTTTAGTGTGAAATAAAATAGGCGGATTACCTGAAGATTGAACACCCTCCCCCCATACATACACATTCTCTTCTAAAGTTTACAGAGGTGACGATGCAGGACCCAGACAAGAGGATGTTGACCTATGCTGTAAACAAGGCCCCTTGGTCAGGTCACCTCGCGTCCAACACCTCATCCAGGATCCTTGTATAATAAGACTTGTTGATATAACCCAACACTTTCACTCCTCTATCACTGACTAACTTGGTAAACTCTGCCACGGTAAAGTTAATTAAAGGTGGTTAGGTTAGGTTAAGTTAGTTTATGTTAGGTTAATCTTAAGGTGATATGGGTGGAAGGAAGGTTAGGGTAGGGGAGGGGGTTAATTTATATCTATTTTGTTATTCTATTATTTCGTGTCTTTTGTTTCGGTTGAGTTTGTAAGACTGTGCAGAGAAAGGGAGTGAGTATATACATAGACAATGATACAGGTTATACAAACAATATACATAAGAGTGCAAGTATACATTGTTACATAGACAGTCCAGATATACATTGATAAAATAAGTATAGATTTAACTAAGGACAACTACCGACACAGTACCATGATGGTTTGTTTACGTAATGTTAAATCATACACATTCCTCTTGTTACTTTCGGTTAATGCCTCTCAAATTAACCCAGATGGCGTCATTATGTCTGTCAGGTTAGGTTAGGATTTTTTTTATCAATTCTCCTATCTGTTCTGGTGGTCACTCACGGTCAGTCTCACACGAGTATAGGTCACAACTTCTCTCTTTAAAAATCATCACATTGTAATTTGTCACTCGCATTCCTCTCTAATGATGTCTAGCCTCACTCCTGTCTTCTCTACCTCCTCGCGTCTCCACACCTCGCCCATGACACACCCTCTTCTATATTTCTTCATCTCTTAAGGCTGAAGTAGTTCCGCCCACGACTGGTGACTTCACCCGCATCCTCTACACCCACCTCCTTCCTCTACACCCACCCGCATCTTCTACACCCACCCGCATCCTCCTATACATCCACCTCGCCCTCACCCGCATCCTCCACTCACCGCATCCTCCACTCACGGCATCCTCCACACTCACCCGCATCCTCCACACCCACCCGCATCCTCCTCATATACATCCACCTCACCCTCTCCACACCTATACTCCCCACCCACCCTCCTCCCCACTTACGCTCCTCTCCACCCACACTTCTTTCCTACCTACACATCCTCCCCACCTACACCCCTTCCCCACCTACACCCCTTCCCCACCTACACCCCTTCCCCACCCACACATCCTCCCCACCTACACCCCTTCCCCACACTCTCCATCACCGTTCCCCGTAAGACCAATACTAGCTGTCCTTGTTAAAAAATTCTCTTCCTCCGTGTCGTCACATCTCACTCAAGGTCGTTACAGTAAGCTCGTCCCTACTACCCTCTCCAGCACCATGCACGACTGTGGAACTGACATGAACTGTTTCGACTTCCTATACAGGTATACTTCCTGTTTTTAATGATTACCATATGGAGGTCACCTGGAGACTCGATCTTCCACTACCTTATTTCCCTCCCTAAAGCTAACCTAACTTACTGAGCTTTAATCTAACCTAACCTAATCTAACCTAACATAGCTTTACCATGTCTGACCTAAATTAATATAATCTGACCTGAATTAACCTAATATTAATCTAAACTAATCCAATTTAAATCTAAACTTATCTGATCTCCCAGGTAGAGTTAAGGTGTTTAAATCACCAAGTGAAATAAGCTAGGGTGGCTAATCATCAGGTGATCCCAAATACCTTTAGAATACTGATAATTGTGGTTTTAATAACTGTATATACTATGATACAAGTAGTTTTTTCTAAATATAAAAACGAGAATATTATAATTTTAGGGATATATTTAATACGAAATGCCGAACGCTTTATATTATCACTGTAATACAACTTAGAACACTGATGGATAACGATGTACTTTAACGAACAGGCTAGAATGGTGACCTTTGGGCATGATATAGCACACTGTATTATAGAGCTTCGGTATCACAGGAAACCGGGAGGTCAGCACTAGAGTCGCCGGTCTTCACTTCCTCAATTGTAAAGTCTGGTAACAATTGTCAGGTGTGTTGTTGCAAGTTGCTGATAATTCATACACCGGAGGAAGCTGACTTACCCGACGCACCGAGTTGACGCACCTGACCTCGCTTACAACACATTACCTGCCGGCATGATGTGGTGAGAAAAATATGCTGTCAATAACTCTCGTATTGTAACGGTGCCTCCGTGGGCGTTCCTTCATATTTTATTTATTTTTTTATTTTGGCCTGAAGGAATTAAATGGCACTAAACTAATTCGTCTGCAACAGATATATAAATTTTTCTTCAACATCTTGAGGTTGATAGAAGCTACAATAGGCAAGGTGCTGACGGCTGACAAATTTTAAGCCACAGGTCAGAGGTAATTTTTTCATAGTATTGTTCAGTACCTAACACGGATGCTCCTGCAAGCTGCATCTTCAGGATCTGTCTTAAACAGCACATCTCGGCTCACGGTGGCGTCCTCAACAATGAAGAACTAGTATGTTCCCACCAGTCCACGTCCTTACAGATGGAAGGGGAAGCAGTCACCGATGGCCCAGGGCGACGAGGCAGACGCTACAGACCCGGGCCAATTCCCGCGCCCTCCTGACGTCACACTCCCCTGTCATTGGAGGATATGACTTTCTATATTAACCACGACCGAACAAGCTTCAGACTCATATCCTAACTGATTGCCTGTATAGCAGGAGCTAGTTGGCTTCTGGATACATGGGAAGAGCAATCCCATCTATACAGCATTACGCACAAGAACAGGAAAGGAGTAACTAAGACGAAACTAGCAGGTAAAGCATATCATCGACAACTTCATAATGTCAGCAGCCAAAATGGAGAGCGGCCAAAAGAGTTCAAAAAGTGTTTGTTCCCGAGTTATGGGCGTTCTGAAGGGGGTATCTGTGGAGCCGCTGATGCTGCTCGATGGTCTGGCCTTCTCCAACATGCACGTGTACATAGAGAACATGCAGATGGAGCGAGTGTGCCGAGTGGGCAGTGGCTTCTCCCAGCAAGTGTGCGACGACCTCAAGAGTGATCCAGCAGCCAGTGTGGAGGTGCAGCAGAGGTACAGCGTGTTCGCCCTCTATAATGGCATCATCGCCGCCGCTCTCCCACTCTTCTTCATCCTCTTCATGGGCGCCTGGAGTGACAAGTATGGCAGGAAGGTGCCACTGGTGGCAGTGCAGGTGGGTCACGTTCTCCACGCCGCAGGCTACTTGTTGGCGTCTTTGGCACCGCAGTGGCCTGCCGAAATGCTGCTCTTGGTCACACTGCTAGACACTCTGGGAGGCGGCACCGTGTCATTCCTGACGGCGGCCAACTCGTACATCAGTGACGTGTCTTCAGAAGAGTCGCGCACATCAAGAGTGGGACTGGCCAACAGCATCTGGTTCTTGGGAGGCCCCGTCGGTACTCTGATGGGCACTTACATCTACACGTGGGGCGGCTACCTACCACTCTTCGCTACTTCCCTCACGCTGTCTCTGATGGCCGTGGTGTACGTGGTCGTGTGCCTTCCTGAGAGTCACGGACCCTTCGCCAAGAAGGCCGACGCCAGCGCCCCGGGACACAAGTCCCAGGTGGAGCTGCGGGACAGTGTGGCGGTGGTGTACGGGATGGAAGTGAAGGCAACACCCTCCTCCACACTCCACAACACCCGCCCAACTCTCTCAATCATGATCAAGGACTTCTTCAACCCGCGCCGCATCTTTGACAGTTTCAAGTCGACTCTGAGGCAACGTGAGGGTAACACTCGAGCCCTCATCCTTATCCTCATCTTCACCAGCCTCCTCAGACGAGTCACAAGATGTAAGTATAAATGAAAGTTACAATTAACTAGTGATACTTTCATCATTATTTAATGGCAAGATACACACGTACGCCAAGTAATTAATTATAAGACAGTGACTGACAGTCAATAGTTTTCACACTAAATATTTGGTGACCTTTTCAGCGCCTTACGTGTTCGCCTTCACGCGCCACGTGCTGGGCTGGGAGGCCAGCGACTACAGCCTCTGGGTTACCTACAAGAACCTCGTGGCTACTACAGGTAAGACACATTATCACTTTTACTCTCAAATTTGTCTCAGGCAATAATGCTAATAAGTGTCACTGATAAGCCTTGGAAGGAGACTTTTCATATTTATTTTACATTTAAGAATAATATGGAGGTATATTTTGTGTAGAAAAATACAACATGTTTCCTGTAGCGGCTGTAATAAAGTGGTTGTGGTGGTGCTTCAGGTTCCCTGGTGGCGGTGCCACTACTGAGTGGCCGTCTGGGGGTGGCAGACAATGTGCTGGCCATGGTGGGGGCCATGTCCGGGGTCCTCGAGTATGTCGTCTACGGCTGTATCTCCGACACTCGACCATATTTTATCTGGATAGGTGAGTTGCCCCTCCTGAGATTGTTAAGTGATATACTTGGAGTATAGTTGATGTTTGTTAATAGTGATATGTGGTGGATCACAAGGTGACGTGTTACTTGTTCCCTCAGCTCCAGTAGCGGCTCTGCTGCTCAACTCCTGCACCATCGCCCAGCGGGCCATGATGACCAAGTTCGTCGCCAGGGATGAGATCGGTGAGTTACTCTTGTTACATTACGTGTTTACATGGAGAACAGATGAAACTGAACTTGATAACGTTATTTTTACATGTTTACATCTGCACTGTATCTAAGTGTTCCCTGCCTGTACTCTCCAGGTAAGGTGTCTGCTGTGCTGGGAGCCCTTGACGGCCTCATGCCCATGGTCAACTCTGCCCTCTACACCGCCATCTACCACGCCACCGTCAGCGTCTTCCCCTCAGCCCATTTCTTCCTGGGAGCTTCAGCCAGCGGCCTCATGATCGTTTTCTTCTGGTACGTCTTCTTCAGTGTTTTAGTTAACCACAAATTAATTGTCATTCTGTACGAGAGAACTGATGGTGAGTGACTGAACCTGGCAATTGTAAAATACTGTAATATAGTGTGTATGTTCACTATATTATATCCTCTCACTACAGCATCATCATCAACACCGACAAATCTGATGAGTATGACGTAGAAGGTGCCAAGCCCAGTGCTGCCTCTGACATCATCACCAGCAAGTCACTAGTGGTAAGGACCGACTCTTCCTGGCTGGCCTCTGACGCCCTGGCACTCGCCTTCTACACCTCCAGCCTGCACGTCCTGCCCGACCACCATCATAACCATCCAAAACAACAAACTGAGGAGATTCGCTACTAGACTGTGACGGTAATTGTCTAGTTCAGTGACGCAACAAAACAGAACCAAAGACTATTTATTTTTATTTGTTGAAAGAGAAAAAAGAGAAATAATGTAATTGCAACTTTTCACAGGTTAGGTTAAGTTAGGTTAGGTTTCGTTGGGTTAGGTTAGGTTACGTTGGGTTAGGTTAGGTTACGTTACATTTAGGTTAGCTTTAAGGTAGTTAGATTAAGTTAGCATTAGGTTACGTTAGGTTTCGCTAGGTTTAGGTTAGGTTATGTTAGGTTAGCGTTAGGGTGGTTAAACTGTAGGTGATCAAAGTTTGGGATGCTTAATCTACCCGTGATGCAAAATACTGTATATATATATATATAGAAGCCTTGATTTTGAGGGATAAGAAAAACTAATTGTAAGATATTTTTTCTTACTTTTGTATATATTATTTATCAAATAGTTTAATATGTATATAATTTATTACATAGGCCTAATATATTTACATTTTTATCACAGAGTTGATAAGAAAATTGTACAATACTTATTTATGATTATTTATCTCTGATAGTTTAATACAAAAAATATATAATAATTTGTTTATTTATGAATCCTGGCAACATTATCAAGCTAGAGGGTGGGAGGTGTGGGGGGGTAGACGGGGTGGGGGTAGACGGGGTGGGGGTAGATGGGGTGGAGTGTGAGGGTGGGAGGTAATTGGTTAGATGAAGCCCAGTCCAAATAGGCCTCATAAATTAGCCCTCACTTACAATAGCCCTCAGTTCTAATGGGCTTCAATCATTAGAAGTCCTAGTACTAATAGGTCCTAGTACTAACCGGTTCTAGTACTAATAATTCCTAGTACTCATAGGCCCCAGTCTAAATAGGCCCTAGTCTAAATAGGCCCCTTTCTAAATAATCCCTTGCATTATATACCTACATTGTTTATATACATACTGAGTCAATGTAAACTTGTATGGTGATATTACTGAATAAATATCTACCTCTATACACTTTTATCTATCCATCCACATATCGATAAAATCTATCCAGTTATTGATAATTTATTCATCCATCCATAATCTAACCATCTATCCATCTATATCTGTGTGTGTGTGTCAGTCTGGATTTGGTAATAGTGGTCATGTTGCAAGAAGAGTTCCTGTGTGTTATCCTGAAGGTGTTGGGTAAGAGTGACGCAGAGGAACAAGAACTGACTCTGTGCTAAGATTCCTGGTGTACCTAGAGTGGGGGGCTGATATGTGTGTGTGGTTGTGTGTGTGGTAGCGGAGATGCAAGGGGAGGGCGTAAAGGTGTACGGAGAGTTGGAGAAAGATAAGCTGGACGATAAAGAGGAACCAATTAAATGTTTGCTTTCTCCTCTCCTCTCTTTCCCCTTTCCTTCCCCCTTCCTCTCTCTCACTTTCTCTTCCCCCTTCCCCCTCTGCTTATTTCACCTGGAGTTTAATCATTCTAAAGGTACTCTAATCTAACCTAACCTTACCTAACCTAACCGAACAGAGAGACTGATAGATAGAGAGGAAGATATACATACATACATACATACATACATACATACATAGTGGCTGCCCATCGTGTAACAGGATGGTCGGCCCAAGGGTCACCTAGGCGTGAATTTGTTTAAGGTGTAAAACCTGTCGCCAACACAACAACCACACCGAGTTAACGAGCTGCATGACCCAGTGTCAAGGAATAGTCCGAGAAGACAGGACAACTCGCCAACTACAATGGCTAACCATTACCCCGGAACACGATCCACAAATCGACTAACATCCAGGTTCCCAATTACTGCTGGGTAGACAGAGGTAAATTGCGTAAAGAAACTTGCCCATAGTTTCACCCAGCCCGGGGATCAAACCCGGGTCCACTCGCTTGCGAGGCGACCACACACATACACACACACACACACACACACAGGGAGACTCGGTACGCCGGGGAAGGAGGGAAGGAGTGAACAAGACGACCTTCTACCAGCCAAGGACGACCGGGATAGAGGATAGCTTGACTACAGGAAGTGTGACGTCTTCAGCGGGACTCAACTCGATAATAAAACACCTGCAGGCTATTATGAAGTCTTCAGGTGCTTCGATAATGAACTTAACGTAACTTCTACACACACACAAACACACGCGACAAATTTAGCTTTCACATACCATTTAAAGGCCCAAACATTCTTGTATATAAACACACTACCAGTTTGACCGACAACACAGACGTTCCGGTTTTCTCTCGGGGTAAATCAAGTTTAGATCTTAAGCAAACGAGTAGCAAAATCGCAGGGGGAAAATGATCGGGTCGGTGGCATCAAGCTAGGGAGGTGCGGGGGAGCCGGGCGGGGATGTGCAGTGAATGGAGGGAGGGGATAGGCTGGAGAGGGTGCAGGGGGCCTGGTGCTGGGGAGTGGGGAGGCGGAGTGGGTAAGCATAAGTTACTTAACACATTAGTCAAGCTTTTGTCGTCGTTGATGACTGCCTACTTCGTTTTTCTGGGCTTTTATTCACTTCTCATCGTAGCCACAGCCTCTAACCTTAAGCTCAGTCATATACGGCCGCTGAACGTATTGTAATAAATCCATAAATACCCATAATAAGGACGATAAATTATTCATAAATGCACTCATGATTATTATTATTATTATTAGAGATACTTATCCCTCCTTTTGTTATGTAATATTTCTTCAGCGTTTAATAATAGTGCTACTGTTAAATTGTTGTTGGTGTTCCTTTAAGGATAGGAAGTACAGGATTTGATGTTCCTGTAGGGTTTTATATAAATACTTTTATTATTTCTTATTGGTCTAATATATTTCAAAACATTAAATTAACACTATAACGTTCTTTTAGCATTTAATATATATATATATATATATATATATATATATATATATATATATATATATATATATATATATATATATATATATATATATATATATATATATATATATACAAAAGCTAAAGGAAAATACACCTCACCAAGACCCAATATCTTAAACCTAATAAGAACTAACGTTATAATAAAGACCAGGGTCACGGTCAAGGGTCACAGTCAAGTTCTATGGTTCTTGCGGGCGGCTTACCTAAGAGTCAATGAGTGTCGTTCTTCTTACTAGGAAAACAATGATTCGTTCTTCTTACGTGCGTAGATATCTTACAGGAGGAGTACCTATCTACCACCTCCTACCTAACCTGCCTACCTAACCTACCTACGACCGAGTCGTATTTTTCTATTTTGTTGTTATATAACATGCTTCCATGTTCCATATTATTCCTGTAATGATGTGTTATATTTACTATTATATAATCTAGTCGCCTTACCCTGTGCTGTTAAGGTTTTAACTGTTATTATTTGTTCAAGCCCATCTTATTTCTTCATTTAGTATTGTAACAAGCATTCTGTGTTACTCTAACGACCATCTGCATCGTTAAACGACCCATGTTCACCGGCTGGTCGCTTGGCGCGAACCAACCATATATATAGTAGTCCACCAACTGAAGGCGTCCAGTTCAGTCCTCTTGTCATACAGTTCACATCCTTTGAGTGACACTCGTCTCCTGTTACTTATACTTAATTTATTTGTGTAGTTCCTGTCGCCACCAATGTCGTATATCTATGTGAGTACCTATTTATGTCCATCAGTATTTCCTTCGTTACATTTAAGTAATTCAGTGTTGTTTCACGTTAGTTAATTTCTGTGTTAGTTTTTATGTTTATGCAGTGTTAACGTAATCCAATGCTTTATTTTTATTCTTTCGATGTTTAGTATCATTTGTTTTAAAGTTTCGATGGTGAATCAATTTGTTGTGACAGCCAACGAGGCTCTTTATTGTGTTAATATTTAATTAAATTCTTAAAGGTTTACTTCATTCTTATTCCCTTTTAATTTACGTCACTTTCTTTGTTTGGTTACGCCTAGAACCTGGATATTTAAGAGAGGGCGCAACTAAATATCTATCTATATATATATATAGATAGATATAGAGCACCTCGCCAAGACCCAATATCTTACACCTAATAAGAACTAACGTCATAATATAGACCACAGTCAAGGGTCACGGTCAAACTCTACGGTTCTTACGGGCGGCTTACCTAAGAGTCAACGAGTGTCGTTCTTCATACTAGGAAAACGATTAGTTCTTCTTACGTGCGTAGATAACATACAGGAGGAATACATATCATTCTTCCTATATACCTATCTTTCTTACCTGTCTACCTACCCACTTATTTTGCGTGTTATATTGCCATGTTACTCTGGGACGGTTATGGGATAAAGAAAAAGAGGAGGAACGTGACTGGGTAAAGGTCATGGGAGAGGGCGAGGCAGGAGTTGGGGTCGACGACGAGGGGTCGAGTAGGTGTGAATTGAATTGAGCCGGGGATATTACTGTTCCCACACACTACCCGGATACAACATTTATTTTACTTTCATCCTCTTCACCACTGATTGGCTCGTTAGCCGCTTGGGGGCTCGGTCACGTCTGTCACGCACTGTTGGCAAGTACTAGTCATGTACTGGCTCTTTGTTACGCACTTTTGGCAGGTACTGGGCATGCACCGGCTCCTGAATGTACCTGCTCCAGTGTTAGTCAAGTCTGGTCTTTAAATACTGGCACTCATTGCCGTCACCACACTTTCTGGCAGATTGTTCCAAGAGTTCACAATTCTCACTCCGAAAAAGTTTGCCCTCACAGTCTTCTGGACTTGCGGCTTCTTCAATCTTGAGCTGTGACCCCTTGTGGGGCGAGCGTCCGCCAGCTCCAAGTAAGGACACTCGTCTGAGTAGTGCCCCTTGAGATGCTTATACACCTCAATTAGGTCACCCCTTGCCCGTCTGAAGTACAAGCTAGGCAAGTTCAGGCGCTCCAATCTCTCAGGGTAGCTGAGGTGCCTAAGTGCAGGCACGAGTCTGGTGGCCCTCCTTTGAACATTTTCAACCAACTGACCGTCCCTAGCATTTCTCGGGGACCAGACGGGGTGACAGTACTCCAGATGGGGAAGCACTTCACTCTTGAAGATCGTTATTAGGGATGGACCGTCTAGATATCTGAATTACCTTCTTATAAGACCCAATAATTTATTTGCTTGATTTACCTTCTAGCAATGGTTCAAGAACTTCAGCTCATTGT